CTAAGGATGTTCTGACACCCAGTAAAGAAATTTTTTGCTATTTTTTATTCTTGCGAAGTGGTATTACGCAGTAATTGTTGTTGTTGTTTGCTTATTATTTTATTGAGGGCTTATATATTAATTGAAGTAGCTACTTCACGGCAATTTATTTTAAATTTTTTGATTTATTTGAGAAATGATTGTTATATTTTTCTTATAAATAATTATTGTTTTGCTAATAAACGTAGCAAAAATACTAGTTAAAAACTCAAGCAAATACTCCTGAGAAATCAATACTTTTACGTATAGAATACATATGTTTATGTATAGAATTGTGTGTATTTTTAATACTTTAAGAAATTTTTTATGTTCCATTAATAGAGATATAAATATAAGTATTTATATATAAGTACTAAAGAAAAACAGTAGAAAAAAAAGAAAAACAGTACACTTGACACAGATACTTACATTACTACTCAATTATTTATGATTTACTTTATAAATTTTTCTTCAATTATGTTTACAAACTGATGTTTTGACTTTGGATCCATTGGGATCACATTTATAAGTAAAAGTTAATTTTAGATAGTTATTTTGTGTGGGCGTTATATTGTTAGGGTCATTCATTTTTATTCAATTCAGATCTGCTTGGGTTCACAAAAAGCATCCATACAAACTATCACTCGTTTAGCTCTGTTAGTCAGGAATTAAATTACCGACATGTAGTGAAACAGTCATATATAGTTTATATTCTACTTAAAGTGGATCCGATATTACTAATAAAAATCATCAATGAATCAAAATATACTTTTTTTACGGCAGTGTAGGCCTATCAAGTGTAGTATAGCTATTATTTTATAAGTCAGCGCTTGATCAACACCTTCATGTAATTAATGTAGGGTAATTAATCTCAATAATTTAATATTTTTTTATGGTTGTTTATTGTGACATTATCAACTATAGTACATACTAACTTTAGTTTATTCTCTATACATTTTACGCAGATAGAGTAATGAGATTTAACCCTTCTTGGAGTAGTGTTGGAAAGGTACATTATTCTTGCCAAATGAGTAGGCTTCACCTTATTTTCTATACATTTTTCGCAGATATATTGAGATATAACCTTTCTCAGAGTAGTATGGAAAGATTTGCGCTATAGCAGAGCAATCATAAATTTAATTGCAAATGTAGTAACATTCATAAAGCACTATTTTGCTGATCGTACTACTAACATATAGTAGTGATAATATATAAATTAACCTTATAAAAGAATAAGAAGATGCTAATATCTAATATAATATATCTCTTTATTAAATAATAATATATTTAGCTTGGTCTGAACTGTCTTAATGATAATCTATCAGGGATAAGTAATAGAAATATTTAAATGTAATACACAAATTTATATATGGAGAACTTGAAAAGGACTAAAGACCAATTTAAATTGAGGAGTCAGTGTAAAAATTTGTTTTAAAAGTAGGTGGATGATCGAATTCACACTAATTAACTAAGAAAGCCGGTTTGATGTCGCATTCTTCGTAATTGTGGTGAGAATGATGGGCATATTAGAACAAATCTACCATAATAATGCTTTATATATCGCTGAAATTTATTGAAAGATGGGGCGCCCAAAAATTTAAGCCTGTACATAGACACAACAGCTGTTGTGGTGTTTTCTCTTCGAGCGTCAAAATACATATATTATAAAAGATGCGACAGGACGGACCGAGCGTGGTTCCATGCCGACCTATAGTCAAGTGTCTTATTAAGACAGATATTATCACAGATACTTTCAATTAACTTCAATGTAATAGGTCGGAAGCTCTACTTTGAAGGGTCTTCGGAGCGCCTGACTATTATATATTATTCTTGAATGAAAGAATTATGTTTTATTTAAAATTGTTAGACTTCTTAGATATGTGAAATACTTCAATTTTATGTCTTAAAATTCGAAATTTGTTCGCCATTTTACATTCACTTAAAGTTCACTAAATGCGATTATAGATTAAATGGCCGCAAAAACATTCAGTGTGAAATATTGTGTACAAATTAAGCCCAGGATTTCCATGGTCAAATATAAATTAAATGCAAATAATCAAGATTAATTTACCTGCGCTTACAGCTGTGTGTGTGCACAATAAGCCGACACTAACACACGCACATCAATACACTCGTGTTTTGGTACGTGTACTGAGTTTTATATGTGTGCACGTTCACGGATGCTGCCTGAGGAGGTCAGGAGGCGTATCGCTTCTAACTTGTCACGAGCATAGCAACAATATAAATGTCTATTACCTGCTTTTGTTTATTTAACTTTGTGTTTTTTTATATTTTGAAAATGACAACTGAATGAGTAGCCGCACAGCATGTGCAATGAACATACACAGTGGTATGATGCAGTGGGGGCGGAATGCAGAGGTGTTAGTTACTTTAGTTTTATTGAAACAAAGACATATTTTCATTGGCGACCTGCTGAGTCGCTTTAAACTTTATTGTGGCCCCATTTCACTTTTTGGCATTTCACACATTTATTGTTCTTAAAAGTTCTTTTGTGGGAAATTTTTTACAGTGTACACGGTATTCATCTGGCGTTATTCAAAATATTTTAAACGTGTTTTTAATGCGAAATATTTGGTGTTGCGTGAAAGCTTTTAATTAGTCAAAAATGTCTGTTTCTGCGGAGGATTAACTTATAACATTTTTAGCATTTCACATTTTTGGGATTATAATATTGGTTTACGTACATAGATGTGATTTGTGCATACCATTGTAACCGTAATGTTATATGGACATACGATTTTGATTTTATGAATTTTTGATAATTTTTTGAAGTCCTAGTCCAAACGAATATTACTAAAATCAAGGAGTCTGTGATTAGTTTAAAGAGCAATTTTAATGCTGTTACTTGATATAAAATTGGTATAAAATTAGAATGAGTCGTCAGTAAATGTAACAATAATCTTCAGGTGATTTCAGGTTAAGTTTTAGTTTTAAAAAATAATACGTCCATGTAAATATAAGCCGAATAGGATGAAGTTTTAGGGGATTGTGCAACATGAGCAATAGTATAGTATATGGTTGGTTTCAATTAGCTTACTTCGTGAAGACCATTCAGAACATTCAAAAGTTATTCCCACTAGTGAAAACATTTAAAAAGTATAGTAAATGTTGTTGCATAATTATGAAATTAAAATTATATAACTTATAGACATTAAAGCAGTTCAGTTTTACCACAAATCACGTTTATTGACCTTGGATCACAAATACAATCCTTTAAACATAGGAGAATAAAAAACTTTGTTAAAAAGGTTTAATCACAATAGTATGTACTTTTTAAATTTTTTTAAATGTTAAATAAACGTGGATCCACCATCTCACATACTTAACAAAGTAGATTACAGAAATGAAATGCTTCCTTAAGAGACGAAGATCGATTTATTAGGTGGAAGTTACATGCCAATTATTTTTTTGGAATGATAAAGTCATATTGTTGACTGGCAGTTTTAAAAAAAGTTCCACAATAACAAAAGCATTCTATGAAACAGTATTAGAAAAATTGAACGTCATATTAGGTGAAAATACCTACTCATTGGTATAGAGAACAATATTTATATCAACAACACAATACACTGCTAACCAAGGCACAATGAATGCTAACCAAGGCTGTAACCCAGCATAACACTTCTAATCTCCAGTTAACGACGTCTTCTGACAAAACACCAAGATTAGCACGAGTAGTGTCGTCTGACAGCAACATTTCAGGCACGTGGAAATAACAATCGGAACAATCATCGAAGACAATTATTCCAAATAATCGTAGTCATCAAATTAGCAAACCAGCATTATATTATAAATATATTAGATTGTAAAACCTTATTTTATTTTAAATTCTCCTAAATAAATAATTGAATTACTACATCACATTGTCTTTGACTTCCAAAATAAAAATTCTATTGCAACGACCCCTGGACGACGGCTGAGTATACCTCAGCATCATCAGCGACAGAAAGTGTGTCGTTACAATTGAAATTTTCTTTATGAGTACCTTTAATGAAATAAAAAGTCCCCAATCTTAGGAAAAAGATTTTAAAGTATTTTTTTCTAACAGATAAGAACATTTTAGAATAATTTTTAAATGATTATATCCCAGGCTCAGTTAATGATAATTTATTGAACATTTTATAAATCGTTTAAAGCATTGAAAATGTTCATATAGAAGTGACAATAAGAAAAAAAATTTTTTATCAAATTATACATCAAATTCAAATTGACTTCATTATTAAATTTCGCTTAAAAATCAAAAAGATAAGAAAATTTAGGTGGTCTAAGATTTCCATCTTAGATTGCACCGCAAAATTGTGCCAGAGTGCAGAATATTTTCTTTTATTTTTATACATTGAATAAATTTATTGCATTTCCTCTCTAATAGAATAACATAAGTATTTAAAATTTAAAACTACTTAAATATATCACAAAACAATGTTATACGGAAGCAAACTCCTAAAACTAATAGCAGTTTGTAGGTAGGTCTCTACTTAATTATAACTGAAGTGGAAAGTATAAAAACGGACACATCTCAACACATGATTATACGATATCTGAGTATAGTACCCAAAAGTTAATAATGCGTACGACTAAACTAAAAATACTGGGTACCTCATTCCATATAAGTGGATACCAATGAGGTCCTCAGCTGCTATAGCAAACGGACGTAGTTTCAAAAATTCTACATAAATATTTAGATACACTTGAGACATTCATATATTATATATGTATTTACTGCCGTAGGCTAATAATGATGTCATTTCTTACGTCAGCATCTACTTTCATCTATTTTTACTCTAGTTACTCTAGTTTTACTTATTGACCCCTTTCTTTATGGCTCATCATAGCTGATAAGATGGGCAGGAGTTCGGATTATGTGGGTTTATATAAAATAAAATCATAGTAAGCCGGAAAAATTAAATAAAAAATATAAAATAATTCAAATAAATTATATCAAACAAAATGTATAAATAAAATATTGTTTAGATGTATGTTTCAAAATTTAAAATTCGCAGTTAAGGTTAGTCTTCTAAATTTATAATTGCCAATATGTATGAATATTCAGAATCTGAAGAATCTGAAAACGAGCAATACGAAAATGTAACCGATACTAAGCAAAAGAGCCTTCTATTTTTCATTGCCGCAGTAACAGCTATTCATATTGGTAAGTACTTATTATACATATATTAGTTGATCTGTAAGTAGATTTTGAGAAACCTTATTATTACATGCAATAGTCATATAACGACGTGTTCATATAAGACTACCAATTGCTGTAAGTCATAAGATACATTAAGGAAAGTTCTTTTATAAAGAATTTGCTTCTTTGTTGAAAGCATTGCCAACCCTACACACGGTTTAAGCAATATCAACCAATAGAACATATGGGACAAAAGAAATACTAACCCACTAGTCGAAACATAACCTTATTAATATGCATATATAGAAATAGACTAAGAGTGAATAACGAACAAAAATCACCCGTCCATCTGTAATATCAAACCTCACCACTCCGACATTGAGTTTGAAATACGAAGACCGAAATAAGAACAATTCTTTTAAAAGTTGAATACGACTATTCGAAAGCGTTTGTAAAACAAATTATTACGAATATTCGGTTAAAGATTAGTATTACGTTTTATCCGCATTTGTCAATTATATGGTAGTAGTGGTAAAATTAAAGTAGAAACTTTTGAGAAATAGCAGACACATTTACTTTTAAAGGAGTCATAATCGAAGCAGTAAATAACCTCAGTTGCCGTTGTAATAAATGTTCTCTTCGTATTAATTCAATCAATTAACAATCAAGTGAACGGATCAATTAAGATCAAATTAATTGTTCTACTTCACAATAATTTATAGATCAGGTTTGATAATAATACACAAATGCAACGAAATAGTCAAAATAATCGACTTGAGTTCCTCGAGGATAATACGAAAGATAGATACAACAATAAATTTATGAAATACTTATAACTTAACCACTACATCACCAGGGTTTTCAATATCAATAGCATCAATTATCAATAATTTACGTCTATCAAAAATAAGGTCACTTGTAAAAAGTGATTCAAAGTGTGCTCTGATTAAGGATGCAAACTTTTAGGGGACCCCGATATTTTTAATCGTGTTATGCGTTTTCCATGCTTAGTTATTCTTGTGAAGTTTTTAATAATAGTTATCATACAATGAAAGCCTTGTTGAGAGTCGTCAATTTTTAGAACACATAAGAGTGTGAGCAAAAAAAAAGATTGCAGCTGAAGACATACATTTTTGATAAAAACCTTTTTCGCGTTGTAATTTCGTACATCCGAAAATTATATATAGAAAAATGTATATAAAAAAAAATAAACAAATAACAGGTTTCTCTATATAAATAAAGAAATATAAATATAATTTTTATATTTATATAATTTTATGTTTATAAATATAAATATGTTCCATTAAACATTTAAATAACAATATTTTTTTTAATAATAGTCTTTAAATGTATTTTCAGCGCCGTTTATCTTCAACAAGCTAAATTTGGCATAAGTCTGGAGTTGTTTTCATAAAATAGGAGTTTATATATAGAATTTCAAGCAAACGCATTCTTCACGTAAGATCCTAAAACATATCTGTAAACTTTTGCATATTGTACATTTAGTCTATATATCTATATTAAATTAACTCTATATATCATATATTAGCTGCCTTACGTATCAATACGGTCTATGAATCGTTATATTGTTAATGATGCAGTTATGAGAGAAATAAATGGAACTGAACAAATGGACATGTTGTGTTTCTCCATAGCTATACGATTGTGATATTCCTAAGTAGAAAGCAAATGGTTGGATTTGTTGGCCGTAGAGATTAAATTGGAACTATTATCAGCTGAACTGCAGGTAAAATAGTGTAATTAAATATGTTACTGTAATAGTTAATTTCCTTCAATTTAATTCAGTTCAGATAAGTTTTTAAGAAGAGTATATAGTACTGCATATGAATTGATTTATTTAAAAGTAATTAAACGTATTATTATAATTATATTTCTTTTATTTTAATTGATTCATTTATTTGTTGAGACAAAATCAAGACTATTGTTGAACTTTACTTTCATATATCGAATTTGTTATATTAATTATCTATAAGTTTTCTAGTTGTTTCGCATGACATTATAATGGATCTTAATTTATTTGAAACATTTGAGAAAATTATTTTAGGAGTAAGGACGGTTGGATTTCGTATAATATCAATGATCGAGACGTGCTTAGAAGTAGTACACTATAAAAAACACTTAACAATCCATTAGAAAGTCGCAGAAAATATGAATCCACTGAAATATTAACACCGATAATGACAAATTACCCTTGATGATAACGCCGTCAATAATTGAGGTATAAGTGGTTGTTAAAAGGCATTGTTACTATAAAGGTATATATAAAATAGTCTATATAAAAAAATATGTATAAAATAGTATATATAAAATAGTATATATAAAATAGTATATATAAAATAGTATATATAAAATAGTATATATAAAATAGTATATATAAAATAGTATATATAAAATAATTTAATTATAGTATGCATATTACTATACTTATAAATCTCCTTTTGTTTGATATTTATATATATTTTCCTACATATAAATTTGATTAAATTTGCTGTTAATAAGTTTCTTTAACTGTGTTTTTCTCCTATATCATTTTTTTTATGAATTTTGATTTATTGAAAACTATATACTTTATAAATAGTATTGATATGTTAAATTGCTTTAATGGAACAAGTGGTTTTGATTCCTTTTGAAATTTTATAGTGTATTTCACCAGACCTCTTGACTTCTACTTGCCCCTTGATTTTGGAATGGAGTCATGCGGTGATGGAGTGATGAAGTGATGGAATGTATAATTTTTAAGAAAAGTAGTGGAGTAGTGGAATGCTGTGACTAAATCGAAATGACTATTCTACAAATCTTTAGCAAAACTAGCTTAAAATTAGATCAAATTATCACCATATGGACAATACTGGATTAATGAAACAAGTTTCTATATCTATATAAAAGGCCTATATGTATATATATATATATGAAAAACGCGTTAAATGGTCATATAAGTCATTTATTTGCCGACCACTCCAAGTTGCGGTACGTGTCTAGGTACTACTTCCGGATCCATCTAATGTAAATAGTTTTGTAATATATGGTTGTATTTTATCACCTATCTTCTTTGTATCGGCAGTTGAAAAATCAAATGTTGAGTCATAAACAGAAGCGGAGGACAATTTATTCTTTGGATCCCATCCCTGTAACTTAAATAATTTGAGAATTTGAGTATACTGCAGACATTTGTTTACCCAATCAAACAATGACAGATTCGAAAAATATAGTTCCATTTAGAGGTTAATGTAGGCAAACGAAAGTTACAAACATTGGATATGATAACCAAGTTGATTCGAAATTATAAAAGATGGCTCAATTGTCAAACACGTTGAAAGTTTTACTTACTTTACAAACGCAGTGATTGCCTACTGCAGGACGGACCAGGATGTAAGTGTGAAGTAGCAAGACAAATTTAAAATTAAGTGCTTTTAGTTTTGTTTAATAATATATTGAATAATAATAATTGATTTGACATATAAATTAAGGTATTATCTATTTTTTCAGACAATGACATTGGAATTTTAATATATGGCCGTCATCGGAATTGCTTCTAGAGTATCGAGTTGAAAAATAGGGTAGAAGATAAAAAGACGGAGTTGGCATTAAAATAATTACTTACAACCCCTATTTGCATGTACCGAATTTAATAGACATTTTCATCATCTTTGGCAAATAAAGTTATTTTCGGCAATTGAAAACTAAGTTTTTCATATCAGTTTGATAATAAACGAAATTGTTACTAATTTTTAGGGAAAAATCTTATAAACATAAATTAATATAAAATGATAATTAACTAATCTTAAAAATAATGTGTGGAAAAGTATTACTTTATGTATACATTGGTATATAGTATGTGTATTTAAGAATAATTAGTTTAAAAGAATAATGAAAAATAACATATACTTAATAATATATATAGGCTATTATTGCACAAACGGAACGGATTTTACTTTACCACCTCCGATTTGATTAGACATTTTTTAATGAGTCCTTCTAATAAAGGGACTCTTCGACTTGTACCTCCGAAAAAAAATTGTAAAAATTCAAAAAATCTTGAAATTCTTAAAAATTTATTTATTATGTTATGTCCACGTGTCCTTGTGTGTTGCTAATAGCTGTTGATAGCACGGTGGCAAGCCCCGTATGTGGTGGAGTTCTTGTTATAGTAGCACACAGCAGACATAAACCAAGAAAAAAATGATCGTGCCATTCCTATTAAATAAGATCTAAACCAACCTAAATCAAAATCATAAACCATAATTAAATTTCATATCAAATAACTTCAAAATCATAAATCTCTAATAATAGCAAACTGTATTAGAAATAAAAAAAAACTTAGGTTTAGCAATAAAAAAATAATCTGAGCAAATCGAAAAATCACCAATAAAAAAAAAATTAAGAAAAACTAGGTACAATACCCGATACACCTGAGAAAAATCGTCCATATATAAAAAGATATGGACACATATAAATTTTAGTAAAGAATACTAAGCTTTTCTTTAGTTAACTAGATTTAATAAATTACCTTACAGCTGCAGAAATGACGTCATTTATAATGCTGTTGATCTAGCTGAAACTTTTAACAATAAAAAAATGTATTTATGAAAAATGAACCAAATTTATATATTATCTACTTTTTCCTATGTACTTTTTATTTCTTGCTTTCTTCTTTAATACATTTGATTTTGTATAATTTTTCTTAATATTTATATTATTGTATATACACAATATATACGAATATATTCAAAAAAACACTGAAACTTATTTTACAATTAAATTTAATCTTAATACATCAATTTTTACATTTATTCTTGAAGAATATTTCAATTATATATTAGCATTAAATTTTACTGTTTTCTTTCAAAATTAATTGCAAATTGGTTGATAAATTATATTAAAAAAAAAATAAATTAATTAAATATTACATACAACATATATTTACTAAATTGGTATTACGACCGATATTTAATCAGCTTTTTATATTTTTACCGGGCTTAGGTCGTTTATTCAACAGATAAGTTTATAAAAATGCTTTTTAAAATATATAAAAAATTACACTTTTTAAACTGTATTAAATGTTTAATATATTTAATTTTTACACAAAAATTGTTTTAATTACAAATATTTCGGTCCATCTTCAGTGTATATAAAGAAATTACATATTTACATATATGTATATAAACATATAAACAAATATTCAAAACAAAAAACCAAAAATGACAAACATTGTTGTCTCTTTCAATGTTTGACATTTTTAACATTTGAATTTATTTAAACAAAAGCAAAACATTAATTTGAAAAAAACAATAAACTTTAAATTTAAAATCAACATTAATTAACACAGTTTAAAAAGTGTAATTTTTTATATATTTTAAAAAACATTTTTATAAACTTATGTGTTGAATAAACAACATATATTTACACAATTTTGATCTCGCTTGTGCGACTCGTGGAGTAACATTAGCAGGACTTTCTCAGTATTACGTTCTTAGATTTGGTTTTATTCATAAGAAAGTCTATATTAATCATGCAACAAATAATGCCTCTACAAACAGAATAGTATTAAAATTTAACAATTAAAAAAAAAAATATAATCAATTAATTTAATTATTCTACAGCTGATTTATGATTTCTTTCTAATATAAACACAGCAAGTGATTTTTTAATAAAACTTTCACAGCAAAGTAACAAAACTACAGAAACATGCCCGAACATTTAAGTCAAGTACGGCTTTGAGTCAGTTGGTCAAGGAGCGCTGACTCTGAGCTTCAAATTTGGCAGGGCACGAGTTCGATTCTGACGATGGTTATTTAGTAATACTCGAAACAGCTGTACCTGTATGATCAGCCAAAAATTCAAATAAATAAAATAATATAAAATAAATTTTTGTTCGAAAAACCTCTGTATTAAAAATTGATATATTTTCTATTTCTTTTAATAAACTCTTAATGGTTAAATTTTTAAATGTTAATATAGTACAAAAAAAAAAAATATTTGTAGGAATTCAAACATCTGTAAGTTTTTGTCTTTCTTTCACTGGAGAAATACATGATTACACATACATGGTCTCGCTATTCCAACGGCGTATAATGTTGCCGTTGTCCATATGGTCCCATTTTTCCAGGCTTAATGATGTAATGGATTTCTCTGTTTGATTAGGGATGAGTTATTTTTGAAGTTTTTTTTTGCATCAATCACATAAAATTATTTGTGGTTGTCTTGTAATTCGCGGTTTTTGATTGCACGAATTTAATGTTTATGGAAATTTAATTTTTGACAATAAAATAACATAGCAGTCTTGGCAATAATTTAGCCCGAGTAAATTTACTCGTAATGTTATGAATATTTTTATACTGAAAGTATTTAAAATTTCATCGCAATCATTTTTAATTTGCACACACTTCTTTCTTTCTTTAGTTTATATAATTTTTACAAAAAGAAAAGGTTTAATGTTTCTTTTAGCACCGCTTTACTATTCAAAAACTTAGCATTTGGAATTTTTCTTACTGCTGACTGACCACTAATCAACTGACGGTATCAAAATTCACCCCTTTTATATCACAGTTTATTACGAAATAATTAATAACCCTACGCTAATGCACATATGAAATAGGCTCCTAGAAATGTATATACTTACGGAAGAGGCAATAAAACTCTGTAAAATAGGTTCTATACTACTTTTTATTGACGTAACAGGGCTTAAATACCTACTCTAAGCCTAGAAGGGGGCACAATAGACCCGACTTTAATTATTTTTCGTGTTTATTTGTTTCGTGTTATATACAGTGATTTGTATGTGAATTGAGTGTTCGCGAAAAAATGGAATTAACGCGAGAAAGTTTTTATGATTCAAAACAAGAGTGCATCGATTAACTGCCGTCCACATTTGACGATGAAGCTCTATCCTTTGAAACGCTGCCACTGGTACAATGATTTAAATCGTGGCTGTAGTTCGCTCACTGCCGAAATTCGACTTCGTAAAGGTCGTCCAAAATAAGTGGTGCCAGAAAACATTAATGCTGTGCAAAAACTGATACAAGTTATGCAAGATCGTCATGCGGCATACTGTGAGATTGAGGTTGTGGTGAAACCCTAGGCACAAGTTCCACCAGAAAATATAAAATATTGCAATATCATTTAGTCGTGAGAAAGGTTTTTTCTCGTTGTCTCGTTCCCCCATCAATTGACAAAATCTGAAAAAGATGCTCTTGTCGATTGGTGCTCACAAATGCTCAGAAGTACAATGACGGTGCTTAAAAGACGGACGAGTATATAACATTGTAACAGTTGACAAATCATGAATAAATGTATCTGAGCCGGAACGTAAATAGCAGTCGATTGTATGGGTGTTCGCGCTCGAAACACTTTGAAACAAATGGTCGCTTGATTTTTAGGGAAAACTGGTCATGTGGCTACTATATCCGTATTTTTACAGGAATTCAAAGCGGTTAATTCCGAATGGTAACAACCAATTGTTTACCGGAAGTCTTCAGTTAAATACGAAAAGCAAATAAGCGCAGTTGGATTATTTTCCATCTCTATAAAAACAATGCGAGTGTTTACACATTTTGTCTAACAACCAACTATTTGAACATTCAAAAGATCGAATTGATAAAGCATCCACCATATAGTCTAGATTTGGCACCCAACGACTTCTTTTTGTTCCCGAACGTCAAGAATAAATTGCGTGGAAAACGATTTCTGTCGGCGGGGGTGTCTAAAAAAGATTGAAAATTATACTTTGAATGCAAAAGTATATTAATCAGAAAAGAGAACACTTCGAGAAATAATAAAGGCATTTTCAACATTGAATAGTTTGATTCGACTTTATTAAAATTTGCTAAAAATCAAATAAAAAATGATTTATTTAAACAAATGGTAAATATTTTATTTTTTTAATTGTGATCAAAAATATTATATAATAATTTATTTATTATATAATTTAAAACTTGGTCATTTAAATAGAAGTAAAAAACTATAATTTATTATTTATATATAATAACATTTTATATTTTATAGAAATATTTTTCCGATATTTCGACTATTTTCAATATTTTCGAGAGTTTCCCTGAAGAAGACAATGGAAGATAGTCGAAATAGCCGAAAAATATTTTAATAAAATATAAATCGTTTTTAAATGTAAATAATAAATAAGAGTTTTTTTTATAAATATTTAAATAACCAATTATCCCGGTAAAAAATTTATAAAAAAAATTTAAAAACGTTTCTTGTCATCTTGGATTGCGCCACTGAACAATCCACTGCACATGAAAGCAAACTACTAAAACTAATACTTCTATAGGTCTCTACTTAACTATAACTCAAGTGGAAAGTATAAAAACGGACACATCTCAACACGATATCTGAGTATAGTTTCCAAAAATTAATAATGCGTACGACTTAACTAAAAATACTGGGAACCGTATTCCAAATAAGTGGATACCAATGAGGTCCTCAGCTGCTATAGCAAACGAACGTAGTTTCAAAAATTCTACATAAATATTTAGATACACTTGAGACGTTCATATATATGTATATACTGCCGTAGGCTAATAATGATGTCATTTCTTGCATCGGCATCTACTTTCAACTATTTGGTTACTCTAGTTTTACTTATTGATCCCTTTCTTTATGGCTCATTATAGTTGATAAGATGGGCAGGAGTTCGGATTATGCGGGTTTATATAAAATAAAATCA